GAAACTATGAAAATGCAGAAAAATGTAGGCATTCATATTCATATTCATGGTAAATCAATCAAAATCGCTCTTTTCTCACCTCCTACATGCTAGTGATCCAACTAATATCCCATATTATCATCAGAGGATATATAAAATGAATACATTCAAGCTGCTTTCTTTCCCTTACATATAACTCAGTCACATATAAATTCAAATCCAACATCATGCTAGTAAACACAGACCAAACAAATGTGCTTTCAAAATTATGACTTTTATGAAATGCTTAGTTAACACTTACTTTATAGTGAGATCTAGGTCATATTTGCAAAAAAGAAAAAATTATTCTATGTACAAGTTATCTAAAAAATGTAATTTGTCCAATCCTTTCAAAGCTAATAATAAGGAATGTTTATTTAGTTTTTGCTACTTGGGGATAAGGAAGGGGGGGTCAAAGTTTGTACGATCCAATAGACTCACCTACCTGGGTGCCCTAAATCATATTAAAGCACTGATTAAAGTATTTATGTAAGAACCATTAAGACTAAACCAGAATAGGCTATTGCTGTTTCACTGTGTTGCTTCAATCATCATAGATAATAATGACAAACACTAAATAGTTAATCATGGTTGTTTTGGAACCTGCAAAGAACTTTTTAAATTATTCATAAAAACACAGATATAAATCTTTGATGACTCAAAACTGAAACTGCTATTGGGTGTCACTACATGAGTACTAGGACTCACACTGCAGGAGAGGCATTTTACACCATTTAAGTTATATTCTTTTGTTCACCTAAGAAGACTCCAGAATCAAACCACCATCAATCTATAATTCAGAATTATTTCTGTGTACTGTAGGATATGTTAGACTTTAAAATATTTTTCCAAGTGGCATTACACAGCTATGTTCACTTTGTGATAATTCTCTGAGCTATGCACTTAGATTTCTAATTTAAAAATTCTGATGATTGGTAAAAATAGCAGTGTCTACTTCACAGAAAACACATTTTAGCAAGTATTCACTAGATACACTTCTGTGACAATGAAATTTCTAAAAAATGGGCCACAATGACTCAATTCCCATTTATTTCATTTTTTAATACATTATTTGTTCGCTGCCTCAACAAATTTAGTTATTAGGCACCTACTAAATGCTAGGCACTGCTCTAGGCTTATTATCTGGAATAGTGGATTCTATTACCTAAACATACAAAGAACACTAAAACAAATACTTTAAGTGTAGGTGTGCTTTCTTGGTGATTTAGATAAAGCTTCCTAAGATAATTAACCAGAGAATACACTCCTACTAAAAACCACCTCCCACTAACTGCAGTGCACATGTGTAATTCATAAAGGGTACATCTTTCACTGATGAATTCACTCATCTATCTAATCACATCACATCATTCTAATAGCTTTAATGCCACTATCCTCTGAATTACCAGGATAGATTAAAATAGTCACCACTGTATGAACCTCCTAAAACCTAAAACTTAGAACTGGGGGCCCAGGAATCAGAAGAGACTAACATAGCTGTTAATAAGGCTTTTCTTAGCTTATTAATAGAATATTGATATTAAGTTAATACAATATTACCTTAAAAATGTAACAGCATCAGTATTTGTAAAGAGTTAGAATCAGTCATTCTGAAAGTATATCATACATAAACAAAGCAACAGTCTCTGGTTTAAGAAATCTTAACTTATTAAATATATATATATATATATATATATATATACACACACACTTACATACTTGCATATACACACACACATACATTTTAAATATGTATAAGAAAATGTATATCCACTAGTCCTCTCATCCCAACAACTGAAACTCTGCTCTGTCCTAACCACTGGCAATGGGAACCCACAGCTCAATATACCCCAACTGCTAAAGCCCATCTTAAACCACTTTCTTTGTATCCCAATAAATAAGAATAAATGCTTCTGTGCATTTAAGAAGTTACCTAATTTCACCAAAGTTTGCTTTACAAAGTCTCTTAAAATCAATTCTTCTTTTCCACTCTCACTACACCCCACTTCAAGCTTTTACTGACTCACTGGTGAAGTGTTGCAAGGTCTTCCAACAATGAGCTGCAACATTCCTAACATCGATCAGGTAGACATAACCAGGATATTCACTGACCTGGCATCTTTGTAGCATCTCTCAAAATAGCAGATGAATAGTCTCTATTAGCCAAAATAATCAACACTAATAATCTTTTAATTTGCCTGTTTTAGACAATACTAGAACACTATGGACAAATTTCCATCTGAATCTCAAGTATCTACTTTTTTAAGCAGTCAATTGGACACACATACATTGGAAATAAACTTAGACATAGAAATCAGTGAAACAAGACCACAATGCAGCAGGAAGAGAGTTACAGTGTGGTTTGCACAGCACAATTCTGCAGTGCCTCCCACATTATCAATGTCAACTAGAAATAGTCATTAAGGTTTAAATGCAAGATACTATAAGGGAAGAAAGTAGAAAGCAAAGCTAATCTCTGGCCTCAAGATGCTTGTACTTCAGTTGAGGTAATAATCTACAAACATGCTAGGCTGTTTTATAGTACATTCTAAATTATACATCCTTTAGAACCAGCCTTTAATCTTGCAGTTTATCCATTTTCATGATTCACCTCTTAAATACTTTTTAGGTATTAATATTAGCTAGCAAGCTATTACTAAAACAAAGGACTGAATCACATTTCCAACTTGTCAAGCTCTTGAGAATTAGTGATCCATGCCACTCAAGTGATTAAAATTATTTTAAAAGTCTGTAGAAGCATCAACCGGGAAAACAAGGACACAAATCATGTAATAACCACTTGTTTCACTGGTACACTCTCAAAATTTTCTGAATTAAAATACTGCATCAGGAAATGATTAACATAAAGGAAAAGAAGAGTTTAAGAAGTCAAAGCTAAAACAAATATTAGAAACACAACTAAAGCTCATGAAAACTTAACTAGAGGCTAACACTTAATTACTATATTTAAAGCAAGATAATTTAGCAGATAATCTCCTTCAATCACTTTGTCATTCTAACCCAGCTCCATCATCTTCTTTATTTTTCTTTCTTCCCCCTTTCTTCTTTTTTTTAAACACGCCTAATATTTTAAATTCTTCAGTACTGTTCAGCTGTGTATGTACAAAATTACTTGGAGGCTTGATCATTTATTTCAGTGGGGCTAGGGTATCTTAACAGGTTAGAGACAAAGATAAATGAAGAAGAAAGTGTATTATAAATTAAAATTCAGCAACAAATTATTTAACCTTTGACCACTGCATGGGTTATGGTTTTATAAATTAGTAGAGTATTTATTATTAACTTGTAAATGAAATACCATAAAAGCATGGCTGCCGAGCACATCTCTAAACAATTAGTTTGCTTCAAATGGTAAGAAAACAGTACCAGCTCTTTATCCACAATACCTCAAGAGGGAAATCCTTTATGCTGACATCTACAAAAGATTGGCAGTAATGAGGATCCATGTAAATCAAACTGTCATCTACAAGGACAAAACAGAAGACAAGTAATTCAAAAAACACCTTATTATTACACTGCTTACAATCCAATTTCTATGTAGAATAGATGAAAAAAATCTGGGAGTAACAGCTTGCCAGACTGATATTCATTGACTGAAACATAGGTTTGCACAGAACAGATTAACTTTTGCATAATCAAATATGCTTGTATAAGCAGAATTTTTATAAAGTGATGAGACTGTCATTTAATTTTTAGTGATAAAATTACTTCCACAAACACACAATTATATTCTACAGTTTGCATATGAAAAATGTATCGCACTACTTTATCCTGACAGGAAGAACATATTGCTTGTCATTTTATCATCAACTAGCACCACTAAAACTGGTAAAAAGTAAATATGTAAACAGCAACTGCCAGAATGTGGCAGCAATGTCTTCTGAAGTTTAGTAAAGCCAATAAATTATGCCTTGTTTATGCAATAACAGAAATTAAACATACATTTTTACAGAATCCAATTATGTTGTGGACCAAATGACAAATGAGTGGCTATGGTAGGACTGATGAATTTATAAGGTACTCATTTTGCTCTGTTAATCATCCTGTTTCTAGATGATCCTATATTAAATTTCCGACTTTTAAAAGAAAACAGTGAAGAAATATATTTTACTAAGTCACTAACCTTGAAATCCGGCAAAGTAATATGACTGTTTAGGCTTGCCACCAATAATACCTACGCAATATTCAAGGCTTAAAATACCCTGCCAAAAGAAATTAATTCAGATTTAGAGCCAAGAGACAAATGGTAATTATTCAAAACAACCAATTTTGTATTACTAATAGTAGCAGTTCCCAAATTTTTCACCACCGGTTTTATTTTTATTACATTTGCCCCCATGTTCTGAAATTCTTTTGTCTACCAAACTATCTTCCATTTTCTTTAAATCACTCAACATTAACACGACTAAATTAAATCTTCTGATTAGCATGTCACTCAACAACATTAAACAACTACTGTGTGCCAGATACAGAGGTAAACAATGTAATTACAGAAAGCCAATAAAATTCCTGCCAAAGATAAAATATTTGGCCTTTCAGTTGGCTAGTACAGCCTTGCTGGGGTCAACGTAATATTTTCATAAGGCTTTTTTAAATGCTAGAAATAATTATTAGACATTGTTACTGTTTTCATTGAACCCTGAGTCTTAGAATCCCAAACTAAAAACCATTTTTAATCAATGGCATTCACCTGACAAAATTTTTATGCAACTTCATTTGGAATAAATATAAAGACTAACAAAAACAATTTAATCCAAGAAAAATAATCATTATTATTGTATTTAAAGCCAATTTATTTTAGCAATCATAAAATATCAGTGATAACCTCAGTAAATCATTTATTATTTCCCTCAGCATCTATTCTAAGCAGAATTATATTTAAGCTGGACCAAACAATTTAATACTTTTTTTAAAAACATATCCATGGAGTGGAGTCAATTAAAAACATGCTCAGTGGAAACAATTATTATCCTGTCAGTAGTTCTTGCATTAATTTTAGCACATATTATGTTAGAAAACACTAATAATGATAAAGTATATGTTATAAAACCCCAAAAGTATCAAACAACAGTTAAGCTTTCCTTCTCTTAAATGAGAGGATGTTTCAAAATCTAGAACATATAAAAATAAAGAACATATGAACAAATGCTTTTTTTTCCTTTAGCAAGTAAACAAACCAGAGTTTTATTTAAACTTAATTACTTTCTTAAAAATAATGTGGTTACTGAAAAAACACACACAGGAAATAAATCAAGAAGAAAAAATTCCCCCAAACCCCAAAACTCATGAGTTCATTGTTACTAACATTTAGGGGAATACCTTCTTGACATCTGTCTATAGTACATATACTCAGATATAGATTTACAAATACAATTTTATATATATGGCATCATACAACATATGCTGTTGCAAATGTTGTCACTTGTTACCTCATAAACATCTTTTCCTGCCAATAAATATAGATCTACATTATCATACTTAATGGCTGTAAAATACTCTTTTATGAAAATAACAAAATATGCTTTACAGTCTCCATTACAAATATTTAAGTTATTTCCAGGTTCTCACTACTATAAATAACCCTCTAATAGAACAATCTTGTATATTTTCAGTCTTGTGAAAACACCATAGAGGTTTTTTTGGAAAGGAGAACTGCAACTGAAAAAAAAACAAAAAACTAAATAAAACAGAAGGCATATTAAGTTAAAATTTTAGAGCTAAGAGAAAAAATAAAGATAAAATTATAGCAAAAACCTTGATAATAATAATAATTATTCTATTGTTACCATTCCATTAACAGTTCTATTGTTCTATCGCCTTCTCCCTAAATGAAAATCCCTAACACAATTACAGTGCCTTACTTTAATCTGAGAAAACCTGATCAGCTAAAATACAATGTTTCTGATGTAGAGACCCATGAGGAAGTGAAAGTTCTAAGTTCCTCACAGCCAAGAAGAAAAAAAAGAAAAAAGTACATGGCAAGAATCATCACTGACCCTCCTCAGAAAAATAATGATTTCAGGGAACGGAAGAAAGACTTTGGTTCCTGACATCTATATTTCCTTTGCAACAGAATAGAGCAGATTTAGCAATAAACACTTAGAAGCAGATTAAGAGCTAAAATGCCATTACACATAAGAAGCTATATCTTTGGAAACTTGAAACAGTTTTCAGTTCCTAAAAAAGCTCTTTCACAGTTATCTAGTGGTGAGAATTGATTGAGCTGTATCCATGAAGCAATAAATAAGACTGAAGTAATCAGTCAAAAAGGAAAGTCCTAATTTGTCTTGCTGAAGAAAGAGAATATATTGGATTTTCCTCATTCCAGGCCCCCTTTAAAAAAAAATAATAAATAAATGAATAAACTTCCTGTGCAAAGGGCTGATAAAGCACCACACCAGATTTCTTTCTCCTTACAGCATGTAGCAGAGGATGGTACCATCTCTGAAATACTGTGGAATTACCTTGATTAATAAATTTAAAAAAAAAAAGAACTGAATGGTGAAACTTAGAGAATATTATGTACAATCTGCTGACAAAGAAGGAAGAGGAAGAAGAATGGGGAGAGAGGTGGGAGGGGAGGGGCTGGGATGGTGATGGAGGTGGAAGGGAACGAGGTAGGGAGACAGGAGAAGGAGGAGAAGAAAAGTAAATGGAAATGGAAGAGGAAATAGAGGAAGATTATTCTTCTTTCAGGGCTACCAGAGACACTATTTTTTCACTTCTAAATGAATAACTCTTTACATGCTCGCATTTTGGCTTTCGACCCAACCCTCTGACCAAGCATAGCACCTAACATAAAACCACTTTACTCAGCCATTTCAGACATTGTTCATGATAATGGAAAATTTTAAATGTCTCCATAGTCAATACTCTAAAAGTGGGCTACAGCATAAATTAGATTATTAGAAGCTCAAAGAAATGTTACATTTTATAAAGTCCATATTTTAGGGGAAAATATGAGAAACAATGAAAGTTCTGGTCGCTGTCGCCAGTTTGCTATTTAAACTTGAATATATCACTTAATTTCTGTTATTTCTGTTTTATAAAGACAATCCAGTTCCCAGCTATTGTGAGGGCAAAATGAGATAAATCTGTATTGAAAGTGTTACACAAATATGGAGTTGAATTTTGTTGAGCAACTCCTATATGCTAGGTACTAAGGCTCACCTTAACAGTTAGCAGTAGTTTGTTTCACTATAATTCAGATTCCAACGAATCACTCAAGAGCATTAAGCAGTCCTGCCATTGATAACTACTATCAATACCACTAAATAGCAAAGCCCTCACCAGATGAAACATGCCTCAAAGTCGTCTGCAGCTCATTTCACCAGGAATAGGGGTTTGGCAAAAGAGTCAGTCCCAAGCTTCTGATCTCAGCATGGTAGTAGAGAAGGCAGAGGGAATCCGTGATTAGGTTACAACCAACAGACACATGACAACATGCCAGAAGTCTCAGAACCCTCAGTGGGGTCACTAGATGAAATGGTTCATAACTTCTCACCTTCCACTAATAAGTCTATAAAAGAGTCGAAATTTAGAAATCAAAACCCCACTTTTACCTAGGGAATTCCTATGTCATTGGTATAGTACTGATATTTATTAGTACCAAGTATGCCTGTAAAATCTTAGTAACTATTAGGAAAAGCCAATATATCAGCTGGAAGACTTCCATATACCACATATTGAAAATAACTGCTCTAGATTTTTAGAATCATTACAATCTGGAGTGAGGATATATGTTCTACCTACATACATAGGGACCACAATATAGGATTAATGCTTCACATGAGGAACAAACCTAGACTTTATTTCAAGATTTACTATATGCTGTAACACTCCATTCAAAGAGAAATTCCGTCTCTGGACTTGATTTGATTAAAACTATGAAAATAATACAAATATTACACTCTTAACCAGAAACGAAGTGTTTCAAATGTAAAAGTTTTTTGACAACAAGATTACATAATTACACAGGTTTTGTTCTAAAATAGAACAGATTTTTTAACTGGTTAATATGAAAAAAATAAAGTTGGAACTTCCCCTCATACTATCTTCATCATTTCTGTCTATAAACAAGTATTCTACCTACTTATGACCCTTATGGCAGCAGAGGAAACAAAATAGGAGACAATGCAGCAGAAATAAAAAACTCATTTCACTTCAATAATTACCTAGACATAGTTTAATGAGGGTTTTATGAATTAACAAAGGTACATACTTTTATAAATCACAAATAAGGATAACGGGAACTGTAGACATATTACAGATTGTGATTATAGCTGCACTGTATCCCCCGATTAGCTGCAAAGATTAAAAGGCTTTTTATTTTGTCATAGAACATCTTACTCTTCAAATCACATCTGATCTTATAATACTGAAATTTAAAATCTCTAATGTCAAACTTTACAGTCTACAACTATAAAATCATCACTATCCACTTAATAGAAAAAAGACTGCAAACTGTTTTTCGTATTACCTGGCATTGCCTTAAAATTTTTTTAGCTCTGATTTCATACCTTTACAAACTCTAAGTAGTCGGCATTGGTCCTTTCTCCACCAAGTCTAACAGGAACTAGAATAATAACAGCTTTGTCATCTGTATTATCAGAGGCCAGGGAAGCACACTGTTTATCAATTACATCAGAACTGTAAACTGAGAAAAACACAATGAATATGTATTAAATTTTACAAAAATTGTTTTCAGAAGCATCTGTACCCTAATCTCCCCACCCCTCCACCGCCACTGGCCAGTCATCTTATTTCTGACATCACTAACAAGGTCTCAATGAGCAAAAAAAAATACTTACCTCATTTATGCATTCAATAGCTACCATATGCATTCCATATGCATATGCATTCAAGTAGCTACCAAATGGCACTGGGGCTTCAACAGTGAGCAAAACAGAGAAAAATCCCTTCCCTCAAAGAGCACACCCTCTAACACAGGGAAATAGACAATAAATAAGTAAAATATAAGCTATGTCTGATGGCGATGGATGCTTTGAAGAAAAAAAGGGAGAAAGATGGACAGGAAATGTTGAGAAGGGGGCAATTTAAAATAAGATAGTAAGGAAGTCAAGACTTAAAGTAAGAAACCAAGAAATGCAGATACCTGGCGGAAGAGCATTCTAGACAGAAAGATCAGCAAGTGCAAATGCCTTAAGGCAGAAACAGAGCCAGCTTGTTCCAGGAACAAGAGGCCAGTGCCTCTGCAGGAAGTGAGCAAGGGGCACAGTGGTGGGAAATGAGGTTAGGAGATAAAGATACAGATTGGGAGAGAATGAAGACACACTGTGGGAGCTCTTAAAGGCCACTGTAAAGACTTCAGTTTTAACTTTGAGATAGGAAGCCAATGAAGAGATTTTCAGGACTCTACACTTTACCTGTCTGGTTTCTGTGTTCAGAATAGACTGCAGAGGGCAAAAGTTTAAGCACAGAGAAGTTAGAAAGCCACTGCAGGAATCCAGCAAGAGATAATGGTAGCCTGAACAAAGGCAGTAATTGTCAAGATAGGGAACGGTCATGGGAAGATCATGCGGAGGTGATGAAAAGTGGTAAGTTGAAGATGAAGAACTCCCTAATACATTAAACACAAGATGTGAGAGAAAAAAAGGAGTCATGGATGATTTGAGTGGTTTTGGTATAAGCAAACAGTAAGTGACCTGCCATTTACAAAAACAAAGAGTGTAGGAAGGGAAAATATAGAAAGGAGGATTGGGAATTCAGTTTCAGACATGCTAAGTCTGAGATATCGATCAGACATGCAAGCAGGGAAGACAAGTAGACAGTTAAGGACAAAAGCCTGTATTTGGCGACAGGTCCAGGATGGACCTATCAATTTGGGATTTGGCAATATACAGATGGGACTGTAAAGCCATGAGATGGGTAAATCCAAATGTGTGTACACAGAAAAAGAGATGAGATCTAAAGACTGAGCACAACACACCAACAACTTCAGAGATCAGGAAAA